TGAGAGAAAGGTAAAAGGAGAAATACGAAAAGAGCCTACACATAAGAGAGACGTTACAGTTTAGGTAGAGAAAAATCAAAAGCTCAAATCATTAGCAGAAAAATTAACAAAGAATATTATAAACATCTATCAAGGACAAATTTGATGCACATCAGCACATATCATATATTAGAGTAAACTGGATCCAGAATTGCCAAGTTTTCTGAAGGTGGAAATAATTGGTGAAAAGTAAAGGACTCTGCTACGAAATGTGTACCCACATCTGTGCTTTCAAAAAATTGATCCTAGAACTTAAAAGTTCTGTTATGTATCTGTCTGTATGCTTCAGAACCTCATCTGCGCTTTTGTAGAAATGGGTTTCCCACATTGATAGGGCTTGTGCGATTGATACTAAAAACCTCAGGAAAACACCAAAACCATTATATGTCATTGAAGAACGCAATGACATTCCAAAACAATAAAGAAACAATTGCTATACTTTCCAATTGGCACCTAGTGTCCAGGAACAAGATTACTGCCTACTGGTATGTTTTGTGCAGTTCTGTTCAGACCTCCACGGAAAAAGGAGGGAAAATTTTGAAGTTTATTACTTGAAAAGGAAGAAGTTACAAGCTGCATAGTGAACTGGAGTCCAGGTCAGGAGTACTTAGGATATTGGGATAATTTTCAGGGATGAGTCAGCTGGTTAGTTATACAGTTGTAGGTAGTACTGTCAGGAATTTTCTGTTCTCAACCATTCTATTTTGTTATCTTGGATTTTCTGCTTGTACTGGTTGAAATAGGACAGATGTGCCAATTGGTGGCATACTGCAATTTGCCTACCAAAGGCTTCTGAATCAATCAGCAGTCTCTAGAGTCCCTTCTAAATTCTTTCTTCTCATCCTCTCTTCTCCTTCTCTTCTCTCATTCTCAACCGCAAACCTCTCTTCTCTTCTTCTCTTCACCTCTTAAAATTTCTTAGTTCCCTCTCTCAACGATTCACACAAGTCAAAGAGGAGGTCATGCCTGAAGCTCCTAACAAGTTCGTTTTGTGCTCCAGAAGCAAACTACCGCTTACATATATAATACCGTGAAAATACAACATACTAGCTCTCATCAGACTCATATTAAGACTACCTGAAATCCAGATCCAAAAGAATTGACGACGAATATGTCCAGCGACTTCCCCTACATGCATGTAAACTGCAGACTTTGAGAAATTCAGTGCACAACTTGCTTAGTAGTTAATACCCATTAGAATTGATGCTTGATGGAGAAGGGCATACCTTAAGGCGCTTTGCAGCATCAATGAAAACAAATTCCTGTTCATAGACCAATAACAGATGTTGTTTGTTTGGCTTTCAGAAGCTTAGTAACCCCAAAAAAAGAAACGATAACAAATGTTCATCCTCATAACCTTGATAATAGATGCACTAGCTTGAAAAGCAGCTGATAGTATCATTACAGTTGGCCAAACAAAATCAGTTCCAGACAGCATGTGGTCAGCATTAAACCCACTGCAATTGCAAGCAATTGTCAGGATGCAATTTTGATTCAAGAGGCAAGAAGAAATGCAAATAAACTGTGATCCATGAACAAGGTCCTGATGCTCCATTTCTGCATAGCAACTGTCTTCGTGGTACAAATTTCCAGACACTGCAGGAAAGAAAGGATAAAAGGAAAGAAGAATTTCAAAGGTGATTTGAGAATTCCAGGAATTTATGATGCACTGATGCATTTGCTTAAAAAGAGTCTTTCAGGAGAAAATAAGAGAGACCTAAACCAATTTAAGTGACTGATCTCCAAAAATATGTTCTACTTTTATTCATCTGAAAGCATAGAGCTTTGAAGGACAACTGTCACATAAGGGTGTACAAGCGAGATTTGCATGTCAAAATTTTGCCCAGGTTCTTTGATAACTACTTATCAAGAAGTACAAAAACCAAAAACATATTTGAAACTAAACTTCAACATAATTAACAGATAAAGTTGGTCATGGTTGTTTAATGTTCAATCTCCGAAAAGGATCCTCATGGACATGATAGAGTCAATCAAATACCTTGAAACTGCCACCACTACACCCACGGCTACAAGCAAGCAACCAGCAATTTGGTTGAACAAATACCTTCTTCTCAGGATAATAGCAGAAAAAATCAATTGCCACACCAAAAATGTCTGCAGAAAAAAAAAAATCATATAAATAAAACCCACAGAAAGCTATATGGAGGATAAACACAATTGGGAAATACGACAGCAATGTCCTAACCCGATTCCCTCATAAATATGAATTAAGCCATATACTTCATTGTTCCATATATGTTTTCCGGAGAAAGAAAACTGTATAGAACATGAAATCATAGACATGACCACTAAGTGTAATGAAGGGAGAACTGTCACGACACAACTCAGAAAATCAAGCATTGTGCAGAATAGCTTCATGAATCTCAAGCCACATTTTAAAGGGAAAATAACTCCTAAATAGGAAAATTTTGCATGAGTTACAACCTTTACAAGAGAATATATTTTTACTCTACTTTCACATATGATATATATGCCCATAATAATTGCTCCATTAAAATACAGCACACAGTTCTTAATCTCAATCCGATTTCACACAATATTGCTGCCTTTAGACACGAAACCAGAAACCAAAAAAATTTAAATACGGGATAATTCAATGGATAGATAGAAGCATAAAGTATTGATTAACGTTAAACAAAGAAATATCTCTCTCAATATTCTGACCCATAAAAGGAAAGATACCTGATTCAGTATTGGTATGGTTGGTCCAGGAAGCATGGCTGTACAATATAGATAAACATTCAATATAAAAATTAAAAGATACACTGAAATTAATAGGACCAGAAATGCTTTTCTCTCTTCTTCAGAGAAACCAATTTGCTTCCTCTTAATTATCGACTCTACTCCGCTTTCTACATGGCATCACCATCATCAAATGAAGTAATGACTTTTTACCAAAAGAAATAACGTAAAAAACTAATGCTGAAACTGGGTAACTGTAATTTCAATTAAAATTATTTGCTTCAAAAAGGAGATTCTTACAGAGCCAAAAGCTCTGAGGGAATTTCTTAAATCTTAAACTGCAAATTAAACAAAGCACACACGAACACGATGGTACCTGCAGCTGACATCCCACTGGCAACTCCAAGAGCTTCTAGAATACCAATGGCCACAAACCGTGATTTAGGTAGCGCCATCATCTCATTGGTGACCATCCCCGCAGCGTATCTCATATACAATATCGAAAAGTAAATCACCACGTACCTGCGTTTTGCAAAACCAGCAGAGCCATTTAAACGGCACCGTTTAAACACGTGGTGATTACCCAGCCAATTCCAACGAGAGAAAGAAGCAGAATTAGGTCCTTCAAGAAGTTGAAATGCAGAAATCACATATAATGAAACAAAATGGTAAATGAAGCATAGTAGATACCCGAAAGTGGTAAATTGAGCTAAAAAGAAAGGAAACTCTTTCATCGGAACGAGAGCGAGCTTGTAGAGCACTCGATTAGCAACTGCTAATGATATCGAAATCAATGAGCTGATTATGGTTCCTCTGTCATTATAGGACGTGAATGAGTCCTTAGGCAAAGCACAGACTACGAAATTAGATTTTGTTGATGGCGACCGGCGTAGGACGTCGGAGTTTCTACCGGTGAGATTATTTCCGTCGAAAGATGAATTTTTAGGAAGTTGAAGATGGAGCCTTCGATTTCGAGGAAAGAACATTGTCGGAGAATGATGCTTTGGGGCATTGAAGCTGTTAATTACGTGAGACGTCGGGAGTCGCGAAGGGTTGTGACGCAACGACGACGTGCAAGGAAATCCCCTTGGTAACAGGAGAAACTGCGTCGTTTCGGGCATTTGTCAGTGTGTTGCCCAAGGGTCGAATGTAATCTAGTAGTTGTGAGGAAGAAGAAGCTTTCATTCAACAACCCGCTTATCCCGTTGACTCTGAGCTGCAGTCCGGCGGGAGCCAGGAGTTCCCAGAAGACGTGGCGGTGCCAGCATCGTCCCTGTTAATGAATATAAATTCGAGGCGGTGTCGTTGTAATCCCTGTAGATATACAGACATCGGGTTTATATTGATTCATTTAGAAATAACTTAAATTAAGTTTTAAATTACATAAACTCAATAAAAAATTCATTAAATATTTAATTTACTTTTTTAGGTATTATCTAATATGTAACTAAAAATTATTATTTATAAAACAAATTCTATATGTAGTTTGATAATATATTTAATAAAATGAATAAAAAGTCCATTACATATTTAATTTATTTTATAGTTTATCTAATAAATAATTAAAATTATTATTTAGAAAAAATTATTTATGTATTTTAATAAATATATTAAATAAAATAGCAAATTTGTGCATCAATATTTTTTAATATGAAAAGAAAAATAGGTAATATGCGAAAGAAACTTCTAGACACGTCAAACGTCCAAAATTAACTTTATTTAAAAAAAAAAATCTAAAAATTGACTTATTGTCCAAGCAAACTAAAAAATAAAATAAAAGTTCCACGGCATTCTATATATAAGACTCATGGTACTTCTGATATTTCTTGGTGGCTTTTTGTTTTCGCTACTAAGATTTCATAACCTTCAACTCTCCAACGATATGCCTCGTCGAAGCTCCACAGGTGAGTGCTCTGTTCGGCCATTTTTTTGGCTTCCGTGATTATGATCGTCTGCGGTCGTTGATCTGAATCTGCCTGATTTGAAGTTTAAGTTTATATCTATCTTAGGATTTACATTTTGTTTATCCTAACTAGGATTTTAGGGTTCCGTAGAATTTAATGATCGTTTTTGTAAAAATTGAATGTAATAAATTTTTTAGATGTATATAAGATATTTTTTGTTGTCTGGTTAAATTTTGGTCATTTTGCTGGATGAGCTTTTGCTTAAATTTGGCGTCGAGTTTGGTTTGATACATTAGTGAGGATTTCTATAAGGCTGAAAGGAAGATGATCATGGTTAGGGTTGGTAATTTTCTTTATGCAACGGAAGAGATTTGGATTATTCATATATGAATTTTATTATAAATTAATACTATTTTGTTTCAACGGAGAAAAAAAGTTGTTTCTATAATATTCTTGCTCTTCTTTTCTGCTGTACTAATTTTTTAGCTGTCTTAGGTATTATTGATTTTTTGATCGGAGTAATCTTGAAATATTTTGGAGATATATTTGTGTGATGGTGATTATATAAGAAACAAGTATAATTATTTGATTTTGACATTTCATTGCTTTCTAGTTTATTCTTTGTATTTCTTACTTTCTTCCTGCCTCTCTTCATATGCTCTTATTAAAACAGTTGATGATGCTAGTTGTGACACTGTCAGTCTAAAGTGCCACTCTTTAATTTTGCAGGAAGGTCGGCTTCTCGCCCTGCTGCCCGTCCACTTCGCAATCCTCCCCAACCAGGTAATTTACTTTTATGGTCTGATAAACTGCAATTTACTTTATCGTTTTATATTCTTCAAGAATCTTGGCTTTAATTGATTCAGAAATGTTTAAGCAATAAATCTTTTAGATTATTCCTAGACACATATTGCGCATGCTTGGAAATTTTTTTATATCTGTGTCTTAGCACTTGTTTTTGCACACAAATACTAGATTGATTGGGCAACTGTGGTATTCCTAGTGTGTTTTCATCTCATCTTCATAAATCATGTGAAAGATGTTGTAAATATCTGTCGATGACAAAATTGTTCTGTGCATGGAGTTGTGAGATTAGGTATCAGTATATTGCGAATGTGTTTTTGTCTGGTCGTTGTATGATCTCTGCATTAGCATAAATAAGATGGCATAATATGTGGTGCTTGATTGATTGTGAATTTCTCATCCCAGAAATAGAAACAAAATTATAGTATTGGTGTTGCTAGGATAATAATCTTTTCTATTAGAATCTTAACTAAGTTTTGATTGTATACTTTTCTGATAAACATACAGTTTCTCCTGCTCCACCACCGGCTCCTATACAAGGTAGAAATGGCTCTATGATGGGAGGTCTTGGTGCTGCCGTTGCAGATGGTGAGTTTACCTCCTTGGATCATTTTTCATCGAGTACTTTATGTCGATAGTCAATCTTATATATTAATGTAAAAAATATACGTATGAATCTTAAAAACTTATACCGCCAATCATATAAGCATAAAACTAATTTTAGTTCCACTACGTATAGGCTTGGCTTTTGGCACTGGCAGCGCAATTGCTCACAGGGCTGTTGATGCTGTCATGGGACCCCGTGTCATTCAGCACGAGACTGTACCTTCATCTTCTGCTGCTGCTGCTGCCCCTGCACCAACAGCAAACAGTATTGGAGGTTCTGATGCTTGTGGCGGTCAATTCAAAGCCTTAAGTGAGGTATTATTCCCTTCTTAAGTGAGGATTTGTTGCATAAATTTTATTATATTTGAAGACATGTTGCATACAAATGATCATTGAACCTGTTGAAGCTAATTTCTTATTGCTGTTGAGCTCTCTATTGTAATTTTTTTTTTTAATTTTCAAGTACTTTTTCTAGGAAAGATTAAAAAAAAAAAAAAGAAACTTATTGTTTGTTATTATAGTGCCCTGAGCCAATACTTTTTGGATAAATTTGTAGAATAATAACTAATGTTGTTAGGTAATTATTATGAACATTTACTATTAGGTCTTCTAAAAGTACAAATGAGGTACCATATTTTACAAATTTCGTTAATTTATTTAAATATTTAACTAAAAATCGTGAAAAAAAAGTTCATAAATATTGATTACATCTACAAAATTTGTTGTTCTCTTGGTAACTTTTCGATCATTACTGTAATTTATTGATAAATTAAATTACTAAATTAATTTATCTCTATTTGTTCCTAATAAGTTTTTTGATTATAATGCATGGCTAATTAATAAATAAAACTAAGTTGGTGTTTTCATATGAGTTTCTTATTGATTCTTTTCTGCCTTATTTATTTGCAGTGCTTGAACCATTACGGAAGTGACATCAGCAAGTGCCAATTTTACATGGACGTGCTACAAGAATGTCGCCGGAGTTCCGGGACTGTCATGGGTGCTTGATAGTCGATCATATTTTGTTATTTAATGCATATTACTTGCATCGAAATCTTATTATTTGGTTGTGTTGTCTTCGATTGAGATGTAGTTGTTGATGTCAATTGGGACACAGTAGGACAAACATTAGAAGACATTGGAGAATCCATGACTTCGAATCTTTTATGATTTTATTATCTCAGAAAAGTCTTTATAAATGTTTTATATTAGAAAAGTGTCAGATAAAGTTTAGTTTGATCCTTACATTTATTTTTTTTCATATATTATGCCTAATATATTTCGTTTTGTAAATCCAATTTTTGTTTTGTTCTCTTTTTCAGTTTCAAGTTCTATGGGATGCCAGGATGTGGATTATATCTTATTGAGATTATTAAATTTTTAGATGAGTTGCCGTGGTTCAAAATTAATCAAGAACTAAATTATATGTTTTTTTCAAAAATTATTCAAATTTTCATTAGATTTTTGATTGATCATTGACTGTTATCCATCGTGTCTGGCCTGAATTTTGGGCTAATGGTTATTTGGATTCTAGAGCGCCGCAGAATTCGTTGGTCGTTTTCATTCATCTAAAATCAGTACTGTCATTAGATTTTCGGTTGATTAGAGGTTACCATACGTCTTTTCTCTTTGAGCTGGGGCTGGACCTGTCCGGTTTGAAATTCAGCCAATGGTTATTGAGTACTGCAGAATCTGTTGATTGATTTCATTCATTCGATATACCGACTGACTTTTTTAATGTTCTTTTTCATGTTTCTTGGGGAGTAGATGAAGCTTACTGGTGAGATGGATTAGTTTGTGGATTTGAAATCATATAAACTTGACGTTCACTCTTTGTTCTGTGAATGATTATGAAGATTTGTAATAAGAAGAGGAAGATGATCACGATTACACTTGTCAGTAGCTTTCTATCTACGGCTGAAAGAGACTATATTTTTGGTAAAATATTTTTTACTCTAACGAGGGAGAAATTGATAATCACCACAAGTTTCGTTTTGTTCCTGGACCAATTTTCGAGTTGTTCTAGGTAATTTTCAGCCTTCAATTGATATAATTTGCAGATATGTTGATACCCATACATACAAACACACATCCCAGTTACATTTTTAAGCATGGATCTATGACTCTTAAGACATGGAATACAAAGTACAACTATAAATTCCCAATCAAAGAACACCTGCAGCTTAGAAAGGAAACATAAGCAGCTTCTAAAAAAGAGATCAGCTTGCATCAACAGCAAAAACTGCAGCAGCCACACAAAGCTGCAGAATGAGAGAACCGCAGCAGCAAAAACGAATCCTACAAAAATTCTACCGTATTAAATGCATAAATAAAATAAAAAATTTATCATTTATTGTGTTAAATTAAATTTTAGTAAAAATAAAATAGTCATAATTTAAGTACGTGATTCTAATTCTAATAACAAACTAAATGAAAAAGAAAATCAAATTGTTTTCAAAATCCAATTTATTATTTATACTTTCTTATGTTATTTTTCATGTAAAAGAATTACCAGGTTAAATCAATAGATTGTACACAAACCCCATGTACTTGCATAAACTTAAAATTTCATAGGAATTTTACAGTCAAAACATAAACAGAAGTTGGTAAACCGATCGACTATTATTAAGTGTAACTTGGTCGTATTACATGTGTATCTGTGTTAAGGAACTGAACTACATGGTGTGAGTGGAAAATTACCTGATTGTTGTATATATCTTTCAGTTTTTTCTCCCAGTCACGAGCATTAATCTACACAACAAGCACAATTTAGGTTAATAGCAGATATGGAGCCGATAAATGAACAAAAGAAAATTATACCTCTATGTTGCCAGAGAATTTCAATTGCAAGTATAATTCTGTGATGTCAAACTTATCATGAGGAAGATTGAATCTACAAAAATAAGATTATCAATATTCTGAGACTTGACACAAAAATGCCAAAAAGTCAAACAGGTCGATTAGTTGAAGATAAAAAAACTCACGGAATCACAGTTGCAGAGTCTCCTATTTTGGTCTTTGCAAAGTCGCAGTGTTGATCGTTGAGGGCAATTTCGCCTTTCTTGATGGTTTTATCTTCAGTGATCTTCTGTTAAAGGTGTGTTTGGTGTAGACACAAGAAAAAACTTGAAGGTAACAAAAAGGAATAAGACAACACCTTAAACAGAATGAATGCATGACTTCTAAAAAAGAATCAACTACTAAAACAGAAAGGCCATTAATGAAGTTGTTGAAGGTGAAGATTGAAATCGTCAAAAAAATAAAGAAGTAAAAAAACCAAAAATATATCGAAAACAAAACGAGTAGAGATTGCAATTGAAATTGAACTAGCAATCAAATGAAAATTCAAAACACTTGACGGAAAAAAAAAAACAAAACAAAATGATATCAAATAGCAACCAGTAGGAAAAAAATAAATTGAAAATAATTTCAGCTTCATCTACAACTTCCAAAGAGAGGCTCTCGCCTTTCTCGTTCAACAACAAAAAAGTATGTAAAACAGGGGAAGTATAAAAAAGAAGCAATAAAACCTTGAAATGCAGTTAAAAAAAATAAATGAAGCAACGGAAACTTCATCATCAACAAGAAATAAAGGCATCGGAAACACTTCAACGGAGTAGGGAAATTGAAATCAAACATCAGATGACCATTAAACACAGATTTAGAGACACAAATGAAAAGAACGAGTTTGTCAGGTAACGGATGCCAGGTACAATTTGGGGATGGATGCAATGAGGTATGTTTCCAAATCATGATCGTAGATGTAAGCTCGGTTGGTAAACTTGTTTCCTCTTTTTACAGACCTAACCTTCGTCTTAAGTGCACGACTTGAACCAACCATGTTTACCAAGCTGCGGTATAGGGGAACCAACGGGAACACTTGCGAAACAGAGAAGGCTGCTGAACAGGGAGGGGAAGAAAGAGAGGAAAAAGAAAGAGAGAGAAGGTACACAACCTAGGAACAGATATACACATATATTTATTTATATAAGGGAGAATCTTCTAGACTCAGAGAAGTAATGCTAACTTTTTTCAATGGACAAATTATTTTCGTCCCACAAAAGTCACGTATAGACCCAATTGCATCTTACCGATTCGAATCAATCAACTAGAAAAAAGTGTTTTGAGTTATATAAATCAAGTAAAGGATTTAATTTCATGTCAAGGAGACCGAAGACTTTTATCATAAATTTGTTAAAAAATAAATAATAATTTTTTGTCACGAATCAAAAGATGCCATTTTACCTAGTGTTGGAATATCGCCTTGACCACGTGAGAAAATAATTTATACTCTTTTAAGGTCTAATTATCCATATAATAAAGTTAAATGCATTGACCAATTAGAAAATAATTTATATTCGTTTAACGCCTAATTATTCAAAGAACAAAGTTAAATGCCATTGACCAAGCGCTCGGCAAACTGAATTGGGATTGGTTTGGTAGCCCGTACACGTATACTCACCATTTTGTACACATCATCGCTACTCCTAATATCATTAACGCCTATTTCAATACCTGCTTACGTCTGCCGAAAACGTAGCTCAGTGACATCATATATATCGTCGTTCTTTTTGCTCGTACCCATCTTTCTAGCCATGGAGAATTGATACTCAAATTATGCCGTCGTTTCAGTTTATAGCTGAATAAACGATGCCGTTTAGTCTCATTAAAAAAAAAAACACACACACACACCGAAAGAATTGACAGGTAACTTAATTTTCATTTTTAAAATTTTAATAAATTAAAATTTATTATTATCGTGGCTGTCAAATAGGCAAAAGTAATGGAAGAGAATAAGATCGCAGTTTTCACCGATTCAACTTTAGCGATAAATGCTCTGACAAAGGAAAGTGACCGACCTGAAATGGTGTATTGCGCCATTAATTCAAGAAATCCTTCTTCACAGCCGGGTGATTGATTTACATCAGATACGGACAGAAGCACGTCCATGGGGCCTCATTCACTG